TATTTTATTCTATTTCTAGATTTATTGCTTACAGTTGAGAAACTGTTGGCATACTGTTTGAGAAAACTGTTCTGCCTTTCCTTTGATATGTTCATATGTTAAACTGCATGATTGGCTTGCCAGGGAAATATATTTTATACCTTTAGGATAACTTTCCACGCAGTCATTCAAACTTCTTATACGTGTCTCTTTTATATTTTAACATTAGATGATAACCTTATTTTCTCATTTTTCAAACTATTTGAAAGGCATTTCTGTCTGTTGCCCTGTATGCTGCACTCTCTCTGTATGTGTAAGGACGGTGGTAATAGCACATGCCTATTATCAGATATTATTCCGGATTAAATAGGTTAGCAGGGGTTGGGTTCCCAGCATCTATACAGCAGCTCACATGGTTGGTCTCTAACTCCAGTCCCAGGGGATCTGATAGCCTCTTCCAGTCACCTGACCTCGGTGGGCACTATGTGAACCACACACCACACATGTAGTGCATAAACATACATGCCTGAAAATCAATCATACACATGAACCACCACAACAAAAACCTGTAAACTTTAATTTAAAAAAAAAACCTATCTTAGGGGACTGGACGATGGAGTCTGTAAGGCATGAGAATAACAAGTGGCGTTAAGCGATTCTTTAGCCATGGTAATTTAAATTTTTACACGGTTTTATTGATTCTTACTGCAGGTGTGTCAAAAATTATGACTGCAGCCCTTCCCGCTGGGCTCTCTTAGTAAATGCTGCGGTATCTTAGTAAATGCGGTCTCTAAACGACCTGATCTTCAGGGTTCAGACTTGCAAGAATCCCATCAGATGAATCACTTCACAGCTACCAGCGTGACTGTCCTCTTGTCAGAGTGTGAAAACCAGAACATTGAGGTTGGTAAACTCAGCTGCCAAACACCTCTCCTCTCCTTTCAAGGATGCTCTTTGAACTCCCTTATCTGAAGACAAGAAAACCGTTTGGCTTAAAGGTCAATTTGCACTGTGGTTGCACTGTTTAGTGTTCCTCGCCAGCACCAGGCTAGCCAGTCATTAGGGAGAGGGGTCTTCCTAGCAGGGCGTGGGGGGACTCTGCTCAGCAGACATTGTAGCCTGCCTTAGCGGGACCCCACTGGGGATCTTCACAACGGAGACTCTGGGCCCTTTTCCCTCACCATCATTTCTCATTTGTAATTTCTCCCAGCAGCCTCGCACAAGCGTTTCACAACCAACTAGCCGTGGCCCCCTGGCTCTGCTCCAAGCCCACAGGCAAACCCGCACAGCCAGGGAACTCTGGCTCGGGCCAGCCCAGACGCACGCGGAATCGGTCCATCCTCGGCGGCCAATCGGCGCCCCTCACGCCGAGGCGCCAGCCAATCCCAGCGAGCACACGTTGCTCCGCTAACACTTCCCGGAGGTCCCTAGGGTCCGCGCCGGGCGGGGCTGAGGGCGTAGCCCGCCGCGACCTGAGCGGCCTTCTGCCTTCTGATTGGCTGTAATCGGAAGGCACCGCGCGCCCATTGGCTGCACCCAGCCGCGCCTGGGCGGGCTGGAAACCAGCTTGCTGAAGCGCGGGGTTGCAGGAACGGCGAGCCGCTTTTTCCAGGACTTTGAGCTGCCTGCCATCCTCCGGTAAACGGCCTGGAGGGAAGGAGAGAGGGCGGCGGAGCCGGACCGAGCGTTTCCTGGCCCCGCAGAGGGGAGAGGGGTGGCCGACTCTGGTTGCGGGTGAGAGCCCAGCGGGACGAGAGCCGCCGCCTCTTAAGGACCGCGAGCCGAGTAGGCCTCAGTTTCCCCGTCTGTTAAATGGTGTTGGCAGGGCACCTAGGGCTGTAGGGGAAGGTCCTGAGGGCGTGCTACGCGGAGACTCTGCCGTTGCCCTCGGAAGAGGTGCAAGGGCCATTTCCTCTCCTCGAGCTTCGGTGGGGACAGGGCTCGCAAGAGACACTTGGTCAGTGCAAGTCCATGTTGTAACTCATGGAAGTTACTGCTGCGGCTTTCCTTCATAGCCGCTCAGGGAAGGTTATTTGAGGTTTGGGGGTTCGGGAGCTAGGAAGACAGTTATACACAGCGTGGCGGTCAGGTTTTAATGTGAAGTTTGTGGGAGTCTGCGGATCAGCTTTTGTCGTTTTGTGTCTCAAGAGTGATCTGTAACCTCAGATCAAAGAGCCTGGCTTGGAGCTCTTGTTTCCTCACTTACCTTTGCAATCTTGAACAAATAATTTCTCTTTTCCCTTGCGGCATTCCCTTTATGTAAAGGGGTGATAGTGACAGCAGGGGCTCACAGGGTTGTCGTGAAGAGCCAAGGGAACAGCACAGTGTAACGTATCAGAAAGACTAAGCTCAGAATAGGACGTTACGACTTCCACAACTATTCTACAAAAGAATTAGGAGCATTCAGGAGTTGGGCACTAAATTACATTCAAAGCTAAGGCTGTGGCATCATTAGAATGTAAATATTGCAGGTTGAAAAGAGTGTTGGGGTGAGCACGTGAAGGGCGATTTTGTAGGTACACCCTGCAGAAGTATGCTTGCATGCCTCATGTTCCTGTACTGACAAGGGCCAGTCTCAGAAATGGAAAGCGACTGCACTTGACTCGAGTTAGGAAAGTTGAATTAGTGGCTCAGGGTAGGCTGGAGATAGAGCATCTGTTAGCATTTGTAGTGTTAGGATGTATGGTGGGATAAGGCTTTAGTTTGCAATCTTGTCGAAGAAAGTTTGTGGCTTGTCAAAGTGACCTGATGCACATAAAAACTGTATTAATTGAATAATGGACGATTAAAAGTTATGACACCAGAGAATCTTTGTAAGTGTTTTAAACTACAAAAGAATAAGTAGCTATGGGGTTGTTTAAGGTATTTTTTTTTTCAAAATTTTGTGCCCTGGATGTATGTGTGTTTGCAGGTGCATACATGACAGGGCTCATGTTGTACATGTAGATGGCAGAGAACAGCTTGGGGGAGTCATTTTGGGATCAGACTAAGGCACATTTAATCACCCAGCTGTTCTGCAGGTCCTAAAATGCCTTGTGTTAACCTATTGCCATTTCATCTTGGCATATAGTTGAGAATAACTGGAATTTTGTTACACAAGTCAAGAAAGCTTTCAGAAGCCCCAATAGTTTCTGTTCAGAAATATGGGCATAGAAAACATAAAGGTTAATTTCAAAAAAGATATAAAGTAGACGATAATTAATACTTGGTCTGAGGACTGACAGGGTTTTATGACTTCTCGTATGGAGTTGTTGAAGTCTGTTTAGTTGGGTGGTACCTCTTATTTTGATATTGGTTATGGTTGCAGAAATTTCTGATGTAAAGGTCAAGAGAATGAAAATTTAAGTAAAAAGAAATTCAGAGTGGCATTTGAAAGTATTTCCAGGCTGCTGATTGCAGGAGGGCAAACTGTGCTTTGTTTTCAGTTAATCGAAGCACTTGACTTTATCAGGGGAAAGCCAGAACCTTCTCAACCCCAGTCTGAGCTCCCCTCATTCTAGAGTAAGTTTAGCCAGGTGCTCAGACACACACAGCGAACTAGACAGTGACCGCCATTCATTCTGAATTTCCATGCAGGAACACTTCAGGTATCCAAAGAGAACCTTTGTGTTATATTTATGTCAGTCTCTGGTTCCTTCCTTCAGCATCCGTAGAGAGACTGTTAATCAGTCTCTAGAGTTGTAGCTTTGTTAGTGCCGCAGAGATTTATTACAGATAGAATAAGTCAAGTTTTTAAGAGCAAAAGCTGGGTTTTGCCTGTTTCCATCATGTCAGAGCTGGGTCCTGGCAAGTAGTGGTAGACTTTCTTGAGAAGCTGTTCATTCCTTATGGGAACCACGGAGACCCTCCTTGTTCAGAAGTTCAAAGATGACCGGTGTAAATAGCAATACATATTTTATTCATTGGGTTTCTGCATCATGCTAGTCAGAGCACAACCCTGAACAGCTATATTTTATATTCCTAAAGATTATGCAGCTAAATGGTAGAATATAAATGAATAATTATAGCATGGCTCATAAGAAAACACTGGTGGGCAAGCTAGCCCAGTTTATGAGGCAGTTCATCAGAAAAGAATAGAAATTATGCAGCGAAGCCCAGCTACACACAAGCAATACCAGACAGCTTGAGATTGCGTTGGTGACGAGATGGGAATGATTGCCAAGATAGATGTCTTTCAGTGCCAGACTCTCATCTTTATAGGTAGTTTGTACTGCTTACATTTCTGGGCTGGCTTTGTATAAAGCTAATGTTTAGTCATGATAATAGCAGCTTTCCATTTCGTTTGATTTCTATCAAATAATTTTGAAAAAAAAAGTTTCTTATCAGCTCCCCACAGAAAGCCAGCAGGAGGCCTCTGGGTTTACAGAATGTGGTCGAGTCACAAGGATCCAGTACTGGGTGCATTTCTTTTATAAGCTCTCCAGGAATTTGCACTTGTTTGCACCGCACCCTTGAATAAGGTGGCAGTACTGGTTGTGAAGTTGGCGTGTTCTTGAGTGGCAGTGGTAAACTTTTGGAATGAGCTCATCCACTTTAGGGCTAGGTGTGGTCTATACTTACAAAGTTTTTTTTTTTTTTTTTTTTTCGAGACAGGGTTTCTCCGTAGCTTTTGGTTCCTGTCCTGGAACTAGCTCTTGTAGACCAGGCTGGCCTCGAACTCCCAGAGATCCGCCTGCCTCTGCCTCCCGAGTGCTGGGATTAAAGGCGTGCGCCACCACCGCCCGGCTACTTACAAAGTTTGTATCACTTTTATGGCTCTCAAGTTTTAGGTTATTAAATTTTTCATGTATACTTTCTCATCTTTTTACTTTAGTATTGGAGGTTTCTAAACTCTACAATGTGCTGTTTAAATACTGGCTACAGCTTTGATTTATTTCTGTAACCTTTAGTTTTTAGATAAATAGTTCTGAGCCCTGGTTGGAAGACAGAATTACTAATGAAGTCTTTCCTGGTTTTGTTTTTCGCGATTTGATGGTTGATATTGGGCAACTTTCCTCTGTTAACCTTTTACCGGGATGGAAAGAGTAGGGATGATGTAGGAATTACGCAAAGAATTGATATCTTGGCAGCAAAAGATGATAAAGGGATAGCAGATTTTGTATGTGGGGAAAAGTGTCAACAGTGACATTAAGAGCCGCAGTGTTCTAGGTGAGAGTTAGTGCTACGACAATGACCTTCGCCCTGTGACTGAGGTGAGGTGGTTAAACAGTAGAATTGTGTGACAATAGCAAATCAGCTTCAGATCCTGCCCAGCACTGTGAGGAATGAAAGGAAGCAATCAGAGTAACTTGCAGAAGTCTATGTTGAGGACTGGAGTTTTGACGGCTTTTGGCATTGCACGTTGTAGTCATGCTAAGATTTGGAATCCAGCAGCCCAGGCAGAGAAATCCCAAGTCCAGAGATCAAAAGTCCTGATGAGCATAAACCCCTTGGAAATAGAACCCTAGGCAATGGGGAATGGCAGTGTGGATAGGAATCTTTATTAATCATTAAAGGTGATTCCCAGCCTTTTGGCTTGAGACTCTAAGCTCAATGTCATTTTAATCGTAAATTGCTAAGATAATGCTGGGCACCTTCAGGCTTTGGATGTGGACTTGGGCTCACTGGACAGCTGAGAATTAGAGGGATGCTTGAGCACAATAGCCACCTCCTCCCTCTTCTTCCATCTGCCTCTTCTTAGTATTTTCTATGAGGGATTCTAACAGCAGAGAGTCTGCTGTCCCTGCTATGGAGCATTCCTCTCAAGCTCCCAGGGAAAATTTCTACCCGGCTCTTATTCTCAGAATTTCTGATTAGTTCCTTGGGAGTGGGGTGCAGTTGCAGCTGTCTTTTAGAGCTCCCTCAGGAGAATTCATTTGAATAAAGATTTGACTCTCTCCAGTATTTGCTGATGCTAATCTTGGTTTCTGTAACAGGAAGATCAAGATGGAAGGCCTAACTGATGTTGCCTCTTTTTCAACTAAACTTCAAAACACTCTGATCCAGTATCATAACATTGAAGAAGATAAGTGGCGAGTTGCCAAGAAAATGGTAAATATATGTAATTACTGTTTGAATATTTAGCATATGGCCAATGAATTGTCTGATAACTTTTAACAGATCAGGCGAATACAGATGAAAAATGATGTGCTGAATGATTCTGTAGATGAGATGATGGGTCGCCTTACCAAGGAAGGAACTCATTAGCTCTTTTCTTGTTGGACTTTATAATCGGTTCATAGAGCAGGGAATGGTTTTCCAAGCCAACAAAGAAAGAGTTTAAGCAAGGTTGGTCATTGAAAGTCTGTACGGAAGTCAGATGTGTCAAGCATTTGTGAGTGGGCAGTTAGTGTTCCTCTTTACCATGTAAGTGTTGGGTGGCGGAGTGTTAGAGCCAAACCTCGAAGCAGTGCCTTCTCTTGTTCTCTAGTTAGTTTCGTATTTAGAGTCAGTTGGGAAATGTTGGGTGGAAATGTAAGAACTACGTCAAGGTAACATAGTCAGAATAAATGTAAATTATTTAATTTAGGCATGTACAGTTTGAGAATGAAATATTTAATGTTCCTAATGTCATAGGCTGAATGTATCAGTAATAGTAAATAGCTAAAATTAGAATGAAGCAAATAATAGCCACTAATATAGTTCTGCTATTGAATTTTAAAGTCTTTAAATCGCTAAGCTACTAAAAATCTTTAAGGTGCATAATATAAGTACAGTGATACAGAAGACATTCAAACACAGATTTCATTGTGGCATAAGTAACTACTTGTGCTGAGAAATTACTTAAGTTGTTTTTTAATGCAAAGTTAAATGCTCTAAACTTACAGAAATAATTTTGTGCAAAAGGTTCCACCTATGTGATTACCACCATATAATGTTTTTATTTTTTCTAGAAAGATGTAACAGTTTGGAGAAAACCCTCAGAAGAATTTAATGGGTATCTGTAAGTAAATTCTCAGTTTTATAATTCATACATTATCTTACATGATCACAGTAGAATTTAGTTTTTATTTTTATAGTTTTAAATTTTATTAGAAGCAAATTGGCCATATAAATTCAAAGCCTCCAAAATGGCCAAATATTTTGTGGACTGTGTTAGTCATAAATAATAGCGGTAGGCAAAAAAAATCTGAATTTCTTAGCATCGCATCCATGACCCTTCTAATCGTCTGCATTGCTAAGTGTTAATAGAACTTTTTAAATGACTCTTTTGAGACAGGGTGGTCATGTGACAATTTCTGCTTCAGTTTTCTCAGTCCTTGAGTTCCTATCCCCAGCTAGCATTCGGTTAAAAAATTCCCCTGATGACCCCATCAGTAAGATGGTAGTAATTTAGGTGTTTGATGTTTCATCATGGCATTATTATGAATATTAAAAACTAGGCATCTTGATAGTAAACTATGAAAATATCTGTACTTGGTACAATGTTGGTTGCCTTTAAAAAATGTGTTTAAAAGATTATTTAATGATATAAAAATTGTTTATACTATAATGTAAAATAGATGAATACTCAGCACAACCATAGGCTTATTTAAAATATGTTTTTATTAAAATGCTTTGCCTAAGACAAAATTTATCTCTAAATAGTAGTATTATGAATAACTTTTGTTTTTCTTTTTAGTGTTATAATTGAACATGAATTATGCCTGTAGTCAAAAAAGTCTACTGATTTTCTTTAAAAAAATCAGAATGGATAGTTGCCACATGGAGTTGAAATAAAATGTTCAAATCCTTAGGGCTCAACCTTTTTTAAAAATGAAGCTGCTGGGCCACTGAGTATGTGCAGAATGTCTGAAGTACTATGCCAAAGATACTGTTTCCAGAAAGATGAGTTGTACAATATTTTTGATATGACAGGGAGATTGGAGTTGGATCAAGCGTTGTGAGCAATTTGGGAATTAACCTTTTAGGTCAGTTGTTCCCAGCTGGGATTGAAAGGCATAGAAAGAGCTAAGGGAGCGCTGTGCTGTTGAGACTCTAGGAAGAATAAGAAATGAAGGGCTGATTCATATTCTAGGCAAAGTAACTGTCTCTGCTACTTAAATATGGATGAGACATTTACTTAGGGAAGAGGTTGTGTCTCCACAGCTGGAGCATCAAGCTTGTGGTGGGAAATCATGCTTCTGAAGGAGCCTCATCTCTGTACAAAGGACCTCTGCCACCTCCCATGCTTCCTCTCTGGGTCCTCACAAGGTTTTGAATTTACTGGAGTAACATTGAGAAAGATGGGAATGACTAAATGAGAATTTAAGAAAGGGGCTTTACCAGGTTTGCAAGTAGCTTCTTGGAGTCCTCTAGGTTGTAGATAAACTTGTGATAGTCTGCAGCTCTCTAGGGAAATCCTGTGCCATTCTCAGATTCATAATCAAAGACATTTTAAGTTTACTGTATGGCAGAGGGGTGAATTAAATGGTATCTTGTTAGTGTGTATTTGATTGCAGTGACACTGAGGGTATTTATTGATGCTTATGGTTGTCTTAATGTGTTTTGCCCATCTTTTGTTGGATTATCATTTTCATTAATTTTAAAGGAATTGTACACATATAACTTCTCTAAGTTTGTATCCATTTATATGTATTATACATACCTTTTCCAAATCTGTGACTAAAAAGTTCTTGAAAGCCAGTGTAGTCATGTATGGGTGTAATGGGTATAGTTTCTGACTTTACAAGGAGACAGAGTCTCACAGCAGATGCCCAGTTCCTCCTTGGCTCTTACAGTCTTTCCTCCCCTGCTGTAATGATCCTTGAGCCTTAGGTATAAAATTTGTTTTGTAGATGTATCCCGAAACTTGAGCTGAACAAGTACAACAACATGCCAAAGTGAATGGGGAAAGCCCAGGAGGCCTCAAACCTGTACAAAGAACTACAGGCAACCAAAGAATTCTGAGAGGGGGAGAAATAGTCTTCTCCTGGGAACAGCATGTCAATTGTTAGCCAGCACCAAATGGTCAGCCCTGCAACATACATGCAAGTAACATGCAGACTAAGCAGGTTATATTTAGGAATAAATATATGCATGTAACAATTAATGAATTTGAAAGAGCAATGAGGTATACGGAAGAATGTGGAGGGGGAAGGGAAAAGGAAAAAGTCAGGGTAAAAATACATACACTAATTAATGTTGAGAATAACTAAGAAGAGGACAGTATTACATGGGAGTTTTGGAATGTCCTGTAGACTAGAGCTATATTATAATGTGAAGGGCCATCACTGTTTATGATGACATAGTATAACCTTCAGTTTTCTATTTCTAATTTGAGGACAAAGGACAAATTTTAAGAAAGTAATTTCTAGGACTTTTATTTATTTATTATTTATTATTTTTTTTAAAAGATTATTTATTATGTATACCAGTATTCTGTCTGTCTATATGCCTGCAGGCCAGAAGAGGGCACCAGATCTCATTACAGATGGCTGTGAGTCACCATCTGGTTGCTGGGAATTGAACTCAGGACCTCTGGAAGAGCAGTCAGGGCTCTTAACCTCTGAGCCATCTCTCCAGCCCTAGAACTTTTATTTATTAAACTAGCTGTTAGGATATTTTTCCTTTATAAAAACTCCATTAAGTTTTCCTTCTATTTTCAGTCTTAGCTCTGTACTGAAAGTTTTCATTTGGATAGCCTTTATTTGTTTCCTTGTTCTCCAGCTACAAAGCCCAAGGTGTTATGGATGACATCGTCAATAATGTGATAGATCACATACGTCCAGGGCCCTGGCGCTTGGATTGGGACCGGTTAATGACTTCACTGGATATTTTGGAGCACTTCGAAGAGGTATCTGTTTAGGAAAAGTACTACAATTTCCTGGGGGGAGGGGTGAGAGAGAGAGCTATCACGCATGTGAGTGACAGAGAGCGATCACACGTGTGAGTGTCCACATTTGTACATGCTCGCGTTACTGCGATAATTTCTTCACGAGTAGTAATCATAGCAAAGATACCGTAGGAGAATCCTGTGCTGCCTTCTAAGAGCACAGGTTTTTCCATTTGATTTTATTTGTTCATTCTTTTTTTTTTCTTTTTGAGACAGGGTCTCACTGTATGACCCTCACTGGCCTAAAACTTGCTATGTAGACCAGGCTAACCTCAAACTCAGGGACCCACCTACCCCTATCTCCCTGGTGCCGAAATTAAAGTTGAGTTTCCTAATTTTGGTGAGTGTTAGTACTGAGTTGTTCCCAGTGTACCTCTCCCTTTCTTGCTTATGAAAGTCTTCAGCGTCTTTCATTGTAAAATTTTGGTTAGGGTCTAAAATCTCCAAGTCAGAAGAAAACACCACCCCTGTATTTAGGTTTCTAGGCTGAATATAAAATTTCCAATTATAGCCGGGCGGTGGTGGCGCACGCCTTTAATCCCAGCACTCAGGAGGCAGAGGCAGGCGGATCTCTGTGAGTTCGAGACCAGCCTGGTCTACAAGAGCTAGTTCCAGGACAGGCTCCAAAACCACAGAGAAACCCTGTCTCGAAAAACCAAAAAAAAAAAAAAAATTTCCAATTATATTAAATTAAAATCAAAGACCATAGCTAATTGGATTAGCCATCTCTAATTGAGTAGAGATTTATAAAAACATTGCCTTAAATACTAGACAACTGTTTAGTCAAAGGGGCTTGTTACCTGCTTTTATTTACTTCTTACCATACTTGATTTTTTTAAGTCAAAACATAACATATTTGTGGATTGTTTTTTATCTTCGAAGTTCAGAAACAGTTTGTACCCGTACATTCTGTATATGTACTGGGCTCATAGAATTGACTGCATTAATTGGATTAGCCATCTCTAATTGAGTAGAGATTTAGATACTGAAATGTCTCTGTATTTTTATGAATCATCATCATGTTCTTACAATTGCCTTGACATTTAGAAAAGAAATTATCCTTTTTGGAGCCACTGTAGGAATTGCTATTCTTATACTAAAACATTTTGAGTGAATGTCAGTTCTTACTAGAGACTGATCTTGGTCTGTGACTCTCGTGTCTGATGGTAACCCCAGTCTGACCTTCTGTCTTCCTAGAATTGCTGTGTGATGCGTTACACCACTGCTGGCCAACTTCTGAATATTATTTCCCCAAGAGAGTTTGTTGATTTCTCCTACACTGTGGGCTATGAAGAAGGACTTTTATCCTGTGGTAATTACCTAAAACTCTTGTTCCTTCTTTAAGTCTACTTCAGATATTTAAGTTTTTATCCTGAGCCTTTCCATATAAAGTATATTTTTAATCTTCATTTATTGCAGGTTTTTTATTAAATGCTAAATTCTAGGCATTAAATGACAGATTAAATATCATAAATCTATGCCAATCTATATTAGTTGAGAATATATGTTGTTTCATATTATCATGGGGGATTTTTTTCATTTTTGTATTAATTAAATTTGTTCCTTGACAGTTTCACATGTGTACATAATGCACTCTGACTGCTCTTCCTCTCTCCCTATTATTACCTTGTCTACCCCAGACTTTTCCCTATATATCTTGTTCTCACATTCTAGCTCCTCATTTTGTGTGGAGCCTGGTAGACTCAGCAGGGGGCAGACAGTTGACAATGGCTCCTCCTTTCCCAGAGTCTGTCAGTGTTAACAGTAAGGAGTAGGGTCCTATGAGCTTCTCTTCCCTCAGTTGTTGACAGGCCAGTCTTATGTGGAGCCCGTGAAGACGGCTCCAGTTGTGATTTCAAGACTGCAGTAATTGTATTGAGCTTAGAGGATGGCGTTTTGCAGCCCTTCACTCTTGGTTTTGCCTCTAACTTGCCCCCCCCCCACTGGAATGTCCCTGGGTCTTTCAGGTTAAATGTCATGTTTAAAGGATGAGCCCTCAACCGTTTCCGATCACTTGTTATTCCCAGCTATGTAATATCCTCTACTTAGAAAGGGATCCAATAACTGATACTTCATTCCAGGTTTCTAAAAGCAGTTTCTTGGTATACATATATGAACATGCACATGTATATAGTAGAATATATATATATATATATATAATTTCCTTCTTTGAATTATGTTGTATTTTTTATTTAACTACTACACTGAAAGCCTCCTGTTTTTAAAAATATGTAGGTAAATTGATACTTTATTATGTGTAGTATAAACTCGAGTTGTAAGTTGTCATCTGCTTGTTTATTTAACTCGTGAGTTCTTAGGTTGGGGATGGCTGTGCCTGTGGGGAATAGTAATGGAACCATGCAGTTTTGTTCTTGTTACTTTGAGGCCCAGCTGCTGCAGCTATGATTTGTAGTTCCCAAGGAGTTTCTAAGATGGTATTATGTCATCTATTCTGAAGGGCTTAGGATTTCCCCATTACCTGTCAACCCTGCACCAGAATTCTCTTTGCTAGTTATTGTTCTCATTTTGCTGTGGTCACTCCTGGGGATTAGGTTTCATTTGTATGGATGAGAAGAAAAGCATTTAAAATAGGAATCTGATAATATTTTTAATGAGATTTTTAGACAAATACTGATTATTACTATTAATGATGTATGTCATTTTAAAATTGTCTTGTAGGGGTTAGTCTTGACTGGAGTGAAACGAGACCAGAATTTGTTCGTGGCTATAACCATCCCTGCGGCTGGTTTTGTGTTCCGCTTAAAGACAATCCAAGCCAGAGTCTTTTGACAGGCTATATTCAGACAGATCTGCGTGGCATGATCCCTCAGTCTGCAGTAGACACAGCAATGGCAAGCACACTAACCAACTTCTATGGTGATTTGCGAAAAGCCTTACGGAAGGCTTAATATGTTCAATTCACAGTGCTGAGGTTTGCTGAGCCTGCTCTTCCCTCAGCTGCATGACCTGTAAATGCCATCAACCCTGTCTGCTGCGCAGCCCATAGAAGTGTTGGAGGTGTTTGGGGCTCCATAGTATAATCTCATTTTATATTAAAAGTGAGTAGCTATGTAAATAGTGCATTTAAAATTTTTTAAGCTTTTCTTTGCACTTGTTTGGTTGTGGAAGTGTGTCTAGGAATGGGAAGGATGAAATACCAAGATTTAGATTCAGTGTTGTCATTCACAGAAGTAAAACAGCTCCTCAGGAGGAAATTTTTGGCTGCTTAAAAATTATGAAGTGTGCAAGCACAATGCTATTCATGTTATTTTGGCGCTTTTTGAACATTTTGTAAAATTTTAATGGTTCTTAATTTAACTGTTCTACTTTAGTCTTGGTATGTTATGTGAGTTTGCCAATAGTTTGGACAAAAGGAAAAAGTCTTCCATGGTCTGTAAAGACAAAGTTCATTGTTCATTGACTTGTACTATTTTATGTATTAGAAAGCACAAACAACAAGGGAATAGCTGTTCTTGTAACCATAGGCACAATTCAATACAGTTTAATTTTGATATTCTTGTACAAAGCTTGTAAAATATACCTGTGTCTTTATGTGCATTTATTCTAGGAGTGACTGAAAACAGCCAGGTCTACACTGGTGGCATCACACTGAACAGTAGTTGATATAGGAAACAGCTAGTGGTGCCCCTCATACCAGCAGAAGGTCGTTGCTAAAAAGTGAAATTCAGTGACTGTTCTACACATATTTCAGTTTTTAAAATATCTCTGAATTTGCAGCTTTGGTCTGGAGCTGTAGCAGATGTATCCTTAGATTCAGCCGGATGCTTAGATGTCCTGAACTATAAATGGGCCTATCTTCAGAGAACATTCTTTTGTGACTGTGACATTCCAAGTCATTCTTTGACTTTTGAGTGTCTACTTAGTTTACTTCTAAAATGGGAATTTGTGGTAACTCCGTGTCTATGTACATGTATTTGTGTTTATGTGAGCACTCCCCGTGAAATGTCAGGTCCTTTTATGTTACCATCTCCACTCTCCACAGCTGTGGTTATGTGCTGCCTTCCCTTTCCTTTGTGTGTCAGTTGGTGGGTTGGTGGTGGTTTGCTTTTCATCTTTTGGCTAGTGTGGAGTAAAGTGGACTCTGGAAGTAACTGCCGGCAGGCAAGCCACAGAAAGGCCCACCAGAGTATATGATGGTTCAGATGCCTGAAGGAATGGTTCAGGGGCGTGGCTGGTCTGCTCCACAGTAATCTTTGTCTGAATGTGAAGTCAGTTTTCCCATTCATTTTGACAGTCAGAAGGGAAATTGGTTTTATTCTTGTAACTGGTGATGAAGATACACATGGAGCAAAAAGGGGCAGTATCAGCATTTCTGGTGGATAATCTCAGAGCTTTTAGATTGAAATAATGGTTTCAAGACCTGCCAGAAGCAGTTACACAGGATCCTGTGTTATGAGTTTATTAACCACTAAGATCCTTGTCTAAATTGGTTGTAACTTTCAACTGTTAGATTTCTTTGGTACTTTTCTCTTTTGCAATAGGGGAAAAATTGCAGTTTAGAGTGTCCAGTGAAGACTGTTCATTGTTAACTGTGGCTTCTGTAACTTCATCTGTTTCTGTTGATGTAGAGCACAAGGTCCCATATATACCATTATTTTGCCCCTGATAAAATAACAACAGCTTGGGAAGACTTTGTAACAAGACTGTAAACATGACTGTCAGAGCGATCATTGCCTGAGCCGGGGGCCTCTAAGGATACCAACGCTTGTCCAATGCCACACAGCTAGTGTTCCTTTTGTTCTCATCATCATAGACCTCCTGTGAGTGATCAGGTAATTCACTTCAGGTAATAACCCTGATAGAAATGTTTTCGTTGCCATTTTGAGTTCCACAGTGGGTTCAGAAGTTATATCTGAATCCCCTGAACTTTCTGTGTATAAGGTAGAGTTTACATAGTATGCAGCTTACCTGTGGTAAATGTATGATTGCGTACATTTGAAGAGTTGTGCAGCCATCAGCACAGCACAGCTTTAGAGTGTTTCTGTGATGACATTAGAGCTTGTTTGGTTTTGTTACTGAGAGTAGAGGGGTGTGTATGTGCGTTTGTGTTTAAACTCAGGAACGTTTATATGTTTTAAGTGTGTTATCTCAAGTATTATAAAAATGCTGTAAAGTGGGGAAGATACTAGCATACAGTTAGGTCTGCTGCTTCTATAGCTGTGTTATCACAGGAAAATAATGCAAGCCATATATGTAATTTAAATATCCTAGCAGAGGCTGGAGAGGTGTCAATAGTTAAAGAGCACCCGCTGTTCTTGCAGAAGTCCCGATTCTGTTCCCAGCACCAACATGGAGGCTTATAGCTGTCCATAACTCCAGTTCTGGAGGATCCGGTGCCATCTGGCCTCTGTAGGCACTAGCCATGCACAGAGTGCATATGTGTGTGTGTGTGTACATATATATATGTATATATAAAAACACTCATATACAGAAAAAATACACAGCTGAAATTCATTTTAGCAGTGTTTTCTTTAATTGACTATATCTAAAATATTTCAATATGCAACCAATGTTTTTAAAAAGTTATTGAGATACCTTATGGTCTCTATTAATTCTTTAAAGTAGGATGTGTGTTTTACTGCTGCAGACTAGCCATACTTCAAGCATTCATTAGCCACATGAGGTCTGTACCTATTGTAATGAACAGTTCTACAGTGTGTGTATCATTTGTCTTGCTATAAGGTGAAGTGGACAATTCATAATTGCTTTCTTAAACAGAAACTCTTTATAGCCCAGCCCTTTTAGTGCTTGCTGAATAAGATATGATTTCTTTAGAAATATAAATAAATAAATTACTGATTCTCAGTAAATTAAAAATTATTGCCTCAAAATTATTTTTGTTAAAAGTAACATTTGATAGGACAGTGAAGGAGATGAAAGAATATAGCCTACCATATCACTGTGTCGTTGTTTCCTGTAGTTCACAGCTTGCTAAGGAAAGACTTGCCATAACATCAGCTTCAGTAGACACTGCTGTTTTAAAACAATAGTTTCATCTAAGTGACATCTTGGTAGGGAATACTGGTTTTTGTTGAAATTCTTGATTATTCTTCAATGATTAAAACAATACTCAGCAAAAATAACAGCTGGAGTGTTCTCAGTTCTTTGCTAAGAACCACTGGAGTATTCGCATGTAAACATCAGGATCTCATGCCTGCACACAGGGTGTATTTGAAGTTGGGGTTTCCAGGTGTAAAACTTTAGTCCTAGCTAACAGGGCATTCTCCATTTATCTTCCTTTCTTTTCTACTTGAAGATTGCTTGACTGTTACTTTGTGAATTAAACTAACATCTTGAGGTATGAAATGTCCCCGAGGTTATAGAGAAGAGGAAACACTGCCATCTTTGCCCCTCATTGTCTCTTGGGCTATTAGAGCTGAGAATTCCCTTTGTTGTGGATGGCAACTTTCTTGCCTTTCTGAAGGCATAGTAGCATCTTTAGGATCAGGTGCTAATTCCCTTTAGTTAAATGGATGTTGTAGTTTCTGAACCCAGTAGAAAAGGTAACAGAGCCAGAGGCGCTGATGGAAATCTGGATTTGATGAGGGCTCCTTTAAAACTTCTGTGGGCACTTGTCTAGCCCCTTTCCCCTTCCTTCATTTCTTCTGCTGTGAGGCTAAGTCCTGGTGCATGCCAGGACTAAGCTACACTTGTGGCCCCTAAGTGATCTCACTGGACTTGTAGAAGTATGGAATGGTGAGATTTGAGCATAGAAAAAACATGAGCTTCATTCTAGAGCATGTGACTGGACTTACAATTATTTCATTATTGTGTTTCCAGGGATTTTATACATACTGTTATGTATTAAAATTCATCTCTTACAGTCCAACAAATGATGTATTGAGACCATTTTTAGGAAGGTTATTATTTTGTGAAGCTATATATATATGGCATTAGAATAAAGAACTATGTTATAAATAAAATGTATTTATTTTTAAATTATAGTGGAGTATATCTGAATAAAGATTTCTAGACACTCTTGTTTCTGGTCATTGATCTTGTTTGTGTAAGTTACTTTCACCTTAAGCACTGACCAAATGCTTATATATCTGAATTTAGATAATGTTATTTAAACACTTGAACTGTTTAAAAACAAAAATACAAGCCTGGAAAGTAAAGTTAGCAGATCTGCCGATGTCTCATAATATTAGCAACAAACAATACTGTTAAATCTTTATTTGCAATTTACAGCCTTACATATCTATAACAACATACCTGAGGAAGTTAACTGATTAAAGAGGAGGTTTATTTTGACAAGCAGGTCTGAAAGTTCTAGTCTAGCATCCAGTAGCCTTGTCTTGGACCTTTGGTAATGGCAGCATACTAGAGAGGTAGCATGTGCTGGGAAAAAACAAAGAGACAAAACCCTGCTTGTCTCCTGATCCAGATAATGAAGAGAGGAAAAAGACCAGAGAGTCCCATGTTCCCCTAGAGTTCCCCAGTGACCTGTGCACCTCCCATTAGATGTCACCTCGGAACCACTGGGACCAAGTTTTAAGTACATGGACCTTTGTGAAGGCCTTCAGCTCTTACGTAACAGGGCCAGTTGGGCACATCCCAGTAATTGTGCTAAGTTGACTAAGGGCAGTGAATACTTTAATTTGCAATTGGAAGTGGTTACTAAGAAAACCCATTATCTAGGTTATTAAAGAGCAGCTAGGGCTGGCATAGTATGTAATGGGAAATACATGACTATGAGGTGGCATATGCAGGGCTTTTCCTCACCTAAACGTCTGCTTTATGTCAGCTAGCCCAACTAATGGCTTTAGGAGGTGATTAGGTCATTCATAGTTCGTTTAGTGTCTCCTGTCGTGTATGGACAGCTAAAAAGCAGCCTAGACCAGATGCCAAACCTCCAGGCACTTTAATCTTGGACTGGCCATTTTCTCCAGAAATACTTGAAATATGCTTGCTTATAATCCACCCAGCTTATGATATGTTGCTGTTGCAGCTGAAATGGACTTAGACATCTGCATAAGTAATCACTAATATTTTTCAGCTGAAGAATTTAAGAACAATGTTTCTGCTGTCGTCTTGATATTCTTCCTAAGAGATAACAGACCAGCCCTGGGAATTGATGGCAAATACATTCAAGTTGAGAAGGCAAAGCCATGGTGCTTCCTGTCTGTCTCTCTGTCCCCCAACTCCCCAATGAAAGCTGTAAAGGTGGCTGGGATCAACAGTAGGATTTCCGGCCTCTTGGATGACAGCCATAACAGTGCCCACAGGTTGAGCTTTGGAAGGTATATGTGAGGTTTCTCTGGATGCCTGGATGCCATATAGGTAAAGGATGGCCCCTTCTAACATAGTAATGAAAACATTGTCTTGCACTATTAAGCATATTGAGCCCCTCTAATGACAGATGCTGCGTGGCTCTCATTCCTGTCGTTCACGAGGTGAAGGAGCTTCCCCTCAGGTTAATCAGTGGCTGATGTTACATGGCATCTGCCAGCATGGTTCTGTTTGCACACTCCAATTACTCTGACAAAATCCACATTTTATACATAGGCTTTTATAACCAAGAGATGACACAGAAATATTGTATCCCAGGAGAGAAAGCACATACCCATGCTCGTGGGTGGGTGAGCCACAGGAGTTAAGATCAAAGTATGGAGGAAGCGGGTGTGCCAAAGTAAGTTTTTTATTCATTAGTATTCACTCCTGGAACATTATAATCCTAGTTAATGTTTTGCTTTGGTAAAATTTCTTAAGTATAGGGCAGCTGACTTTATTAAGGGAAGTCTAGAGGTTGCAAAACCACAGTGAGGTAAAAATAATACATGAATGTCAAGTTGTCTTGGTAACACATTGATTTACTGAAGGAGTTCCTGTTTTTCTCTAGTTTTTCCCTCCATACCCTCAACTGAGAAGTCCTTGTTTAGGGTATTGGCATTTTCTCAACAAAGGAACAATCTTGGGCGGAATGGTGGTGAACATAAAAATATCTATAATGACAGATACAACAAGGTTTGAAAAATTTTAAGTAAAAATTAACACTAGAGGAAAAGAATGACTTTTGGCAACTGTTAGGGTATTTTTCTTACTTTCTGTATTTTCATATCTTTGTAAGGAAAAGTCAGTTTTCATATGAACAGCGGGCAGCACCACTGTCCCCTCTCAGCCACCATGAGCTAACATTAGTATTAACTTCCTAGCTGTGTTCATTCACTTTAAATAAAATGGACTTAAGTGGATGAAATAATTATTTGTGTGCTTTTCTAGCTTTATTAATTTTACAATCTTACTCTTTAGGAAATAAAAGATGTGGGCATGCTGGTATTGAAAGTACAGTTTTATCTGAGAGAAGGGTGATTCGGTTGTGCGTCTCCGTTCTCAGGTAATGTCCATGGTGTGTCTTGACCGTTCAAATAACAGAATGCAAAGTTCTGGTGGACTCTTACATGATTTATTATCATATTGTACATGCAGATTCCTTTACAGATTGGCTAGCTGCAAGGCACTGGCTAGCTTCTTTTGGCATGCTCCGGCGGTCTGGGTGAACTTACACAGTTACATTGGTCCTCACCTAAGTCACTCGCTACTCATGTCCCATATTCCTTCTTCAAGGTCTTGGCCAACACCCCGACTATCATCAGGTGAGCACATTTAATCACTGAAATGGATTGTCCAACCTTGCATCCAAGAAGAATCCAGTGAGCTGTCAGATGTCTTAGAATTTGGCAATTGAGAGAGAGAGAGCCAATGGCTGCCCTGTTCACCCATACTGAAGGACACCGTGCCTCCACCATTAGCAAATGGGCATGGTTTTGTTGACTGCTTTGCAAACATTTTATGTATTTACATTTACAGTCAAGCCAGACTTAACACACTTCCCTAAAAATAGTAGAGTTGCGTCTTTGTATTAAGGAATCGATAGCACCATTTTGACACATTTAGAAAATGAAATGTCCACAGCTCTTTTTTAGTACTTTTTATTAGAAAGTGAAAAGGCCAACCATAATCTTTGCTGGGTAAGGTATTTATTCTCTCCTCCAATGCATACATGCTCTCATTTTGGGCTAATGACTTGTGCTCTAGACTACAGGAAATCTGTTTTCTTGCATATGATGCTATTCTGTTCTCCATGCTGTAATTGAAGGTGCATATGTCTTTTATCAATGCAAATTTGACATCTAAGAAAGTCTCAAAAAGACATCCCAGATAATGCTATCTAGACCTGAAAACCCCTCATACCAAGTCGTCCTTACTCAGTGTCCACTAACCTGTTTTCTGTGTCCTAACAATATCTTTACTTCATAGCATAATTTCCCCCTATTACCCAGATGCTAGTCTCTGTCTCTCATTCCATGTATCCTGTAGAAATGGAACCATTCACTAACCACAGACATTACCAGAAATAAGCAAGGCTACACAAGTCAGAATATTCACACTCTAATTCTAATTTGTAATTTACAAAAACAAACAGTGTATTGAAGATGAATGGAAAAATAGTTCCTCCAATAAGAGATATAATAAAATCTTTCGATTTTTATCTGTTTTATAATTATAAACTTGTAGATTATATACACTGGACAAAAGAGTGAAGAATTAAGAACCTGGCAGGACCCACTTGAAGTTTGAAGATTAGCCGTAGCCTTACAAAAGCATGCATTCGCTATGTCGGGGGATTTTTACCCTGCTGAGATAGACTAGGAGGCTGGCCAAGTAGCAGGGCAGGTGCTCTGGAGAAGAGCTTCACCCGCAGCTGCCCAGAGCCAGAGCTTAGATCTGAGACTGCTGCACCCTGCACAACACTTCACTCTGTGCCTCAGCCTTTCTCATCGAGTGCCAACCCTTCTCCCCAACCTTAGAGATGGCCCCTTTGTCCTCCTTAACTGCAGAGTTGGTCTGACCTTTCAAAATCAGCCTTGTACATTCTTGGCAGAAGAGACCATTTTCCTCTGTCCAGCCCGGGAGGGCTTTACCGTCTGTAGGTATTCAGTATAGGTGATATGTGTGATCGTTTGCCTTTTCTTTCCAGCTGAAGAGTAGCACTGAGCTTAATTCACGTCTGACTCCTAGTACAAGTAACGGCTCGTCCGTGAACATGCACTGTGAGAAAAGGATTCCTGGAATGGGCTATTTCTGGGAGCCTTTTGCTATTAGTGATCCCGTCCTTAAAGTTTGCTTTCCATGAAGGCCAAATAGCCTCTAAGCCATGCTGTTGATTTCTAGGAAGAAAAGTAGCTATCGATTTTGAATTGTTTTAAGGTTTTAAGTTTATCAATAACTGGCTTCAAACTTTGAGCCATCTAGAAGATGAACAGATAAGAATGTACAGCCCCCTCTCCTTCCAATGTCCCCTGCCTGTGCTAACCAGAGGATGACTCATGTCTTTTGTTCCCACATCCTGTAACTTCCCAGTGGCTGGCTCATCTTACCACTGCTGCGACAGTTTAAAGAACAGACTATGCGCCGGGCGGTGGTGGCGCACGCCTTTAATCCCAGCACTCGGGAGGCAGAGGCAGGCGGATCTCTGTGAGTTCGAGACCACCCTGGTCTACAAGAGCTAGTTCCAGGACAGGCTCCAAAACCACAGAGAAACCCTGTCTCGAAAAACCAAAAAAAAAAAAAAAAAAAAAAAAAGAACAGACTATGCCATTCCGTCATATGGTAACGGTTGATATTCCTAACAATGGGCTGATAATCGCTTCCTATTCAGTCTCTCATTTGTGACAAATGAAGGAAGTCAAACTGAAGCAAGCCACAAGTGCCTAAATTTCCCTCCATAGCGGGGTTACTTGGTTCCCTTAAGGCAGATACTTTGGAATGGGTAATTTTTCCAGATAGAAATAGACTCAAGGGTTCTTCTTGGTTTCTAAATTTGCTAGAAAAGTATGTACTGAAGGCTCTTTTCACATGAAATCTAGAATATTCAGAGAACTGGGGTGTAGGAAAGTAGCTATTAAAGTTCTCTGTGCTCTGAACTATTGATGAGCAATTTATTTTCATAAAAATAGCACACTATTCCCTAATTGTTAATGAAAATCCAATTGCTAGAAATTATTTCATTGTATTATGAGAAATTCTGTAGCTTGCTAAGCAACAGGACTCCAGTTTGGCTTAAATGTGAGTGAACATTATTTGTGGGTTTTTTTTGTTGTTGTTTAATTCACATTGTGTTTAAAGTTTCTAAACCATGTTCAAGCAACTGGAAATCTACTTGTAACTTGTCATACTAATTTCCTTTTTCAGAGATGATATAACTTTGCATTTTTGTTCCCATGGAAATTTTAATTATACCTCTTGCACAACTGTTGTGAGACCATTTGCAATATGAAACAAAGCTCACCTAACCTCTAAACAGCAAATACGAGAAATAACTGTAACTAAGGTAAAAATGCTAGTTTTGTAACATGGATTCCTAAAGTAATCACAGAGCATGAGGCATGAGCAATGAAAATGAGTTGTCCTATTTCTCTTATAAAGGACCAGATAGGAAGTGGACAGATGGCTCAGTGGTTAAGAGCACTGGCTGCTCTTCCAGGGGTCCTGAGTTCAATTCCCAGCAACCACATGGTGGCTCACAACCATCTGTAATGAGATCTGGCGCCCTCCTCTTGCATGTGGGCATACATGGAGGGAGAATGTTGTATACATAATAAATAAATCTTTTTTAAAAAAATAAATAATAAAGGACCACATAGACATTTTGAGTGATGTAGATTGTGTGGTCTCTATTGAAAATATTCAGTGCTGTTCTAGCAGCTTGCAAACAGACAAAACAAAAACAACAAAAAATCCACAAATGAGTCTGACTGTTACAATAAAATGGTTTGAGTTAAGATAGTAATCGAAGCCCTAAATTAAGATTTGCTCTTTAAGTCATAGTTTGCCTGAATCCTGAAGTCTCTTCTTGGGAGATTTAAATTCAGTTCCATGGAGAAGCGTGGGGAAATAGTTCTAGTTAGCTTCAGGTGTCAACTTGAAGTATCCTCAAGTGATATGAAGGAGTCTCAATTAGAGATTGCCTTGATCAGATGACCTTTGGGCAGGCCTGTTCAGCATTTCCTTGATTACTAATTGATGCAGGAGGGCCCAGCCCACAGTGGACAGTCCTATCTGGAGGTGGGGGGTGCGATGGGGTATCAGAGCTGAGCAGATGGGCGAAGCAAGCCAGTGAACAGTGATCCTCCGTGCTTTCTGTTCCACATTCTGCCTCCAGGTTCCTGCCATGGAGTTCTGAATGATGATGGACTGTCACCTCTAAGATGAAATAAGCTCTTTCCTCTTCACATTGTTTTTGGTGTTTATCTCACACACACACACACACACACACACACACACACACACACACACACACAGTGTGTATTGAGATACATACGCGTATCTCATAGACCAGAGATGAAAATGATTGGTATCCAAGCTGGTTAAGAATCTTCAAACAGCTTGATAATCATTTTGTTTGTAACTTTCATTTGTTGGATTTGTCTGCACTCAAGTCACGGTTCCCACTCATCAGGCTCATGAGAGGGAACAGCAAGATCTGTTGGACATAGAATGACAGACTACTCTTATGTCATTTCAACCAAAGAACTGAAAATTTAGGAGACGCTAGAACCTTCTCTCGGTTTACAGATGGTCTTAAAGATATTGCTGAAGCTAAGACTGCACTGAGCAGAAGATTAACCATGAATATGCTATTTAGGATCCTATACAAATTGTGTATTAGTTACACTGATGAACACATAGTTGCACAGGCATACAAACTAGGTCAAGTTAAAAGGAGACAGGCACATAGGAGATGATAATTTTCAAATTATGGTCATACTTGTGTCCTTTATAAAATATACAATAATACTTGTTTCAAAGATATGAAGACATCACACATCTAGAGACTTTTTATCATCCATAACTATCAGAATTTGGAGATAGCTTCAGGAAATAGCTTTCAAAAAGGTGAAGCCTATTGCATCTGAATATCTTGAAGTAATATTTTAGGTGGAAAATATTCAATCTGAAGGAAGATTAAATATCTGTCCTTTTGAACACAATGATCCAAAGCAAAGATCAGACTGAATATAACTATTCTATATCTATGGGTCTTTCAGGTCAATCCTCAGAGTATATTGAAAACAATTATGAACAATGTGATTTTGTATTCTTAGAATTGCTCATTAGCGCTTCAATTTGAACTATGGGGCAATGAAAACCTGTTTCTCTAGCTAGACTGGAATGTTCCTGCCAGAACCTTAGAAAACCTCCAAAGTGAGACTGATTGTTAGGGCAAATAGAGCAAAACATTGCATTGGGACAAGCTGGGGGTAAAGCAATGCAAAGAACTGTGGTTGGCAGAATCCCATTTTCCTATCATTGGCCAAGAGCAATATAATTTTAAAGAGACCACTTTCAGTCCTTTGGAGCATGGGAGGAGATCTGAGTCTAACTTGGTCAGATGCTGGGGCTCTTCTTTGAAACGAGTTCCTGCAAAAGTCAGACTGGTTTCCTGGCAAGCTTTTGACCTTGCCCTAAGTGGAATTGGGCAGATTCTTGGGAACAGACGGAGTCAAGCCCTTTCCAAATACATCACAGATCATTTATGAAAACTGATATAACTAATCAGAAGTTGTTTGCTACTCCTTTCCAAGGTAAGTATAATGCTTGAACTGGCTCTACACTGCTTGATCTCAGGTGATCTTCACAAAGTAATAATGACAAAAGTGTGTCCTTATATGGAAAGAAGTGAACTTACCATGGCAACACTGGGTGTGTAACTAATATGTGTGTCTCCGCCCCACTATCTCTCCCACCCTCCTCCCTCTTCCCTTTCTCCCTCCCTCCTCTATCTTAACTTCACTTTCAAGGAACTAGAGAGCCACCTTTTTATAAGAAAGTAAGATGACAAAATTTTTAAGTAGAAAATTTTGTCCATTTTCATCATCTGACTATAAATACCAAAGTAAAAATTATATTTCATGTTAGAAACAAACAAAAAGCCACCACTGCAGACACAGTCTAATCTTCAGTGTTCAACTGGTAAGTGCTCAGATGTCAGCAATGACCCTGCTCAGTAATGTATCTGATAAACATTGAGGAAATTGGAATATGACCTAATGGACAGTAATTACAAAGACATTACAACTCTCATTACATAAATTAATGTCCGGAAACTTTATGCTGTCTCAAACGTAGACACCCAGACTGAGTACTCTGCAGAGATGAGCAGATTGCACAATGGTATTCTGATTATGCACTTGGCTGTGCTGTATGTGAGCCCGATGCTAATTCACTTACATGGCCTCTTCTAAAAGGCCTTTATTGGCTTTGTGAGAACAATCCTAAGATCCTAAAGAAGTCCTTTGTCTTTTCTGCCATTTCTTTTCTTCTTTCCAATCTAAACTGCAGCCAGCTGCTCCTGTGCAATAAAAACTGAATCATGAAAAAAAAAAATGGCTCTCGAAGCTTCAACCTGGAGGCAGCTCCCGATGAGCAACCTTGCATAAAATACTGGGAAGAGCCAGTGAAAAAAGGCCGAACATTCTACAGTACGAAATGTCAAATGTATGCAGGTGAGGTCTCTTTAGAAGGCAAGCTGCTTCTTTATAAATCTGAAAATGACCACAGGATATTGACAATTATTCTAAAATCAGTATGTAAAAAAAAATTCCAAAAGTTTTTAAAAAGTCTGTTCAGTGACAGCGTTAATCAGGCCCTTCTGCCAGAACCCCACAAGTGCGAGCTGTGACCACATCCTGGGACATTTGTGGGTATCTGGCATATCAATCACCACCTCATAACATGTCCGTCATGCAAATGTATTTCTCAGGAGGCTTCTAGAAAGATTGCCTCCAACAAGAGGATGTCCAACTTAGCCTGATGTGTAGAGAATGGATTCTGTGTACAGACTGCTCAGTGGGGGGCCACGGGGGCCACAGTAGTTTCTGCTAAGTGAGAATACTGTTGATTTTATGGAAGTACTCAGGAGACTCTAGATGCAGTCAGGATTCCCAAGCCAGATGGACTCTGGGGCAGTACACACACACACACACACACACACACACACACACACACACAAACACACACACACACACACACACAATTTGGCAATGCCTAAGGAAGTGTTGCTTTGATGTAAGCTTGCGGAACACTTCTCAAGACAAAGTATGTTCAGGAGTAGCCTGATACATGTTTCGGAATTTATGTCTGTAACATCAGCATCTTAGGTGCTGACCAACCTAGCAATGTGGAAATGTCAGCTCACATCTAACCATAGAAAGTCAAGTCTCACTTTGCTCAAAAGAAAAGTGTTGTAGATTAGACCTGTGTGTCCACCATAGTGTGGCTCCTGACCACCTGATGTAAACAGGCTTAGACTGCTAATTTAGAAACAGAATAAAAGTGACTCAGATGATCTCGTTAATTTTAATTTTGATGTAATAATTTGTGTATACTGGATTAAAATGTACTATCATAATTTCATATTTTCTTTTTAGCATGTAGCTAATAGAAAATTTAAAGATGCCTGTATAGCTGTGGGAGTGGGGGCACATGCCTGTAACCTCAGATCTTGGGACACTGGCAGGAGGATCACTGTGAGTTTGAGATCAGTCTGGGCTACATAGTGAGTTCAAGACCAGCCTTGGATAAATAAAACCTTGTCTCAGAATTTTTCTGTTACATGTATAGCTTATATTTACATTAAACTTGTTAATATAAGCACTTATTATAGACGATAATTTTAAAACTATTCTGTTCTAATCTCTTATTTTTATGCTATTGTACAAAGAGCTAACAGTTTGAGAAACCCACTGGAGCCATAGTTAGACTTTCTGAGTGGGGGAAATAATTGAAGATTGTCCTCTATGATAAAAGAACCAAATTATGCTATGCACTTAAACTTCCTGAAATAAAAACCAATAATGAATTTAACTGTCCTCTCTGTCTCCGTCTCTTTTTCTCTATGTCTCTCCTCATTCTCTCTCTCTCTCTGTTTTGGACTTCTCGAGGTAATTTCTCTATGTAGCACTAGCTGTCCTGGAGCTTGCTCTGTAAACCCGACTGGCCTCAGACCCAGAGATCCATCTGCCTCTGCCTCCTGAGTTCTGGGATCAAAGGCATGTACCACCACTTCCCACCTTGTAGCTGTCATCTTTTAAATGCAAATTTTAATTTAGTCTTTCTTTGCTGAAATTTTAAAAATTACTTAGTTTTGTGACTACACTATAAACTAAGAGTGATATTAGAAAGTGTTCTTTCAAATTAAGATTGTATTCCTTTAGTTCCAATAATCTTTCAGATAGATATTTAATCTTAACAAGCAATATAAATGTTGACTGTGTAAAACAATTATTCTTAGATGATATTTCTATTAAACGTTTGCATGATTTGACTGAAATATTTGACTTGTTTCCTCGTGAATGGACTTAGTTCTTTGGAAGCATGAGGACCATCTTTAGCATACAAGTTACAACAGAAAGGTGCTAGTGATACTTAGCTAATAAAGTATATAGGTTGCAAAAGAGGAAGAATTAGCCTAACACTCTTGAGTATCACCAAGAAGGGGTAAGGTGCAATCATTTAAATGACTGAATTCTAAAACACTCAAGGGCTTGGCATATGTAATGCTCTTCTTAAAGCTCACAGGGTCATCCAAAGCGTTCAGGCCATGTTGGAATGAAGACAGACCTGGACTGGGGCTGAGTGATGCTATATGTGTTCTGATAGTCTAATTACACCTTCTATCAAGACCCTTACTCTTTCCAAATATGGAACACTTGCCATACATATGTTAAGTCTGATGAGGAAAATCACACTAGGAAATTGTTCTTCTTAAATGGAAGTCTTAAGAAAGCCTTCTTAAAGGTTAAAATAGCCCTTTATGACACTCGAAAGGAGAGTTCTGAGGGAGATTAAAGAGGGGAGAAGTAAAATGAGAGCGTAAATACTAATTAAAATCAATTGAATAATAATCACCGAAGCTCAGATAATGAACCTCAAGTAACCCACCTGTCAAGGACCCAAATCACAGACTACAAGAAGCCCCCCATTGTCTCCTTCCCCAGGACTGCTGGAGCTCTGTGTAAGCGCTGATGCCCCCAACAGCCTGGAGAGGCCCCAGATCTAATGTAATTTCCCAGTGCAAATGCTTGTATGTGAGCCAGAACAAATTAAGTTATTATTTTATGGAAAAAAAAATCTGTGCTGCTCATTTTTTTGCCCTCATTTTGTATTTTGGAAGTCATACTGTTTATAATTTAAGAAAACCCACCAAAAATGTAAAGCAATTGTTTTAATAAAGTGGTCATTTTCACTCAAGAAACTTGATACTGCATTTAGTGTAATATCTATGAAACAAAGAAATCCTGAGGAAAAAAGTATCATGCTAATTAAGGTCTAATGCTTTATCCTCCCCGAAGTCTGTTTTAAGGTTTGTTTTCACTTTATTTTTGTTTTTGCTTATTTTTAAGACAATATGAATTTCTTGATATGGAAAGTTTCTTCATCATAAAATATGCCCTCTTTCCATCTATGTAAGGAAAAAAGACACTAGTTGTTATAGTGAATTTTGAACTCATGAACAGAATGTCTACACAGCTGGAGGGGAGAATCCTCCTGCAGACATTTTCTTACTGTAACAACATCAGCAATAAGTTATATAACAATGGAATGCATTGTTCTTATTATATTCAGACATTTTGGCACCAATTTCTGAAATGGGCTTTTCCAGAACTTGAAACTTGTTATTTGCAGAGTATATCCACAAAAATGTTCTTATACGCAAAATATTATATAAGCTTACAAATGCAAATTTATATGAAAAGTAAAAAGGAATTAATCTTGGTATGTCTAAGTTTAAATTATATATCATTATACTTAAATTTCTTTATTTTTACCTAGGTTTAATACATCTGATGGGGCATTTTAGTGAAAAGCAGGTGAAGGAAAGAAACACCACAGTTTAATATTATCCTAAGAATTGTAAACTGGCAGAATTTTATGATGAATGTTTTGGAAATTCTTATATAGCATACTTAATAAAATGAGACATTCTTTACACACTCTTAAGGGGGCTGTGGGCTCGTGGTCTAAGACATCATGCTTTGATGTCTCAGCGTGGCAGATGGTTTTGGCCACTCTACAGGTATCTTTTATATGTCAAGCTGAACCCACGGGAAGTGTTCAGAAAGTCATGGGAATGTGTCTTTATTTGAGTTGAGGTCAAAGGAATTGCCACCTCTGAAGACTTCTGGGAGGTATGGGATGCCTAAGCTTTCAAAGAAAAATTAGTTTTCCATTTCACTTCAAATATATGCCACCAAAAGGCTAAGAACTTTTGTTTTAAAGTGTTGTGCTGTTTGCTGGAAACTCCAAATTTAACTCATGGGGCTCATGTCTACACTACATGCCGTAGAAGACAGCATTGTTTCATAAAGCAAACACATGCACTGAAATTAGGATTACCAACTGGTATATATGGGGTTTTTTTTGCACCTCAAAACAGAATCACAATAGTGCATGTCATGCTCCCCCACCTTCCTTGCTGAAGGACAAAGTACATCAAATGTTTGCCTTGGTCTCTGAACCTAAAGGAAGCCAGATTAGTACTCTGGCAGAATCACATCCTGCGCTTCTGCAGCAGGGCTTTCCTCCTCAGCTTTGGGGTCCATTTCTTCCCCCACAGTCTTCAGCTTCTCCACCGAGCGCCTCTTCATTGTGGGGTCACGTGTCTTCAACCCATCCTCCAGCGCCTGAATCACCATCCTGGAGACCTCCTTGTTTTTCCCACCTGCATCCTTCTCCTGCCCCTCGGCCTGCAGCATTGTCATCTCAGCTGCTGTGCCCTCAGCAGCCACCTGGTCTCCTTGCATCTTCTTTCCCAGAACAGCTGTGCTATCAGTAACATCCTCGGTTGAAGATGGATCTGGGCTGGCCTTGTGGCTCTCCTGGATGCTGCTGTGGCTGCTGCTGCTGGCACTTCCCAGTCGAGAAGAGGCCACCACAGCCTTCACTGCTGCCTGATTAGAGAGAAAAGCACAAAATCGTGTTTCTGTGGGAAATCCCAAATGGCGGTAGAATTTCTGCTTTGTTTTACAGGTTAGTGTTCAGCCTTTCAAAGAAAAGGAAATGATTCAAAGATTGGTTGTCAGCTAAAAAGGTGTTTGGAGAAAGAACAGTAAACCTTTAATTACAAGTTAGAATTATTTGGCTGTCTGGACAATTGAAAACATGAGGAAGATGCGGTTGCCTCTGAGTGGCTTAAAGTTTTCTATTCTCCAAAGGATGTTTCATGGAAGACTCACTCCACAATGCTGGCTGGTATCATGGGCGTAAAAGAGCAATGCTCAAACTAGCTTCAGAAGTAGTTAAGCCAAAGCTATTTACACATGCCATTTCAAAATCAGGCTTGGGATCTCCTTCCTATCAGTGCAAAACGACAGAAAAGATGTTGCTTTTGGTCTCCAGCTAGTCTCTGAGATCTGCTATTTGTATAACTAGTCCTAAACATCATGAAGATGCACCTCACTGCTACTCTATGTATAGTCTATAAAACATGTATTTTGGTGAACAGTTTTCTGTATCACTTACTTTTTTTTTCATGATTATCTATAGTATGGAATAGTTTTAAAAGTTAATTCCTAATTATTGCGGGTTCAGAAACTTTCTGAATAAAGACAAGTTTCTTGAACGCTGCCTTATTTAGATAAGAAGCAGCCAGTAGGGGAAGTAACAATGCCTTTTCCACCAATCCTGAGTTCAGTCTTTGGGGCTTATGGTGGAAGGGAGAGAACTGATTCCCTCAAGCTGTATTCTGACCTGCACATGCATGCTATGACACACACTGGTAAGCTTGGGCGCACACAGAGAAAGTAAATAAGACACACACCACACACACATACACGTGAGCACATGCGCACACACACACTTTGTAATTTAAACGTATAACACAAGTATTCATGTCCTGGTTTTTACTCCAGCTATGAACTTATTCCTTCAAGTACTTTCTTTCTCTTAATGATGAATTCATGAGAAGACAAACAGACACACCAAAACAAAACAAACAACAAAAATCAAACCCTAAGTGGTTTTATGTCAGTGTCTTAGGAATTTAAAACCAAGGATTCCCCTGGTGTGGCAGAAAAGGAATAAGGAAGAAAAGACATCTTAAAAACAACAACAAGCAACAAAAACACATGTTTTGCCTTAAGCTTGCGCCGAGCATTGAATTCTTGGAGCTTCTTCTGAGCCGTGTCCATGTGCACAAAGTTGGCTGCTTTTCCTGTGACCCACGGGTGCTGGAGGGCTTGAAACGTAGTCAGTCGTTTCTTGGGATCCAAAACAATTAGTTTTCTGACCTGCAATCATAAAGAATATAGACTTAGAGAACCTGGGCTTGCCTTCAGACTGGGAATGTCCAGGTATTCCCCTACTTCTTAGCAACAGTGCTAAGTGCATGTTTTTGAAAGAGCTTACACTGTCAAGAGTAGGGCCTACTCAGGGAAGCAGCAGCTGAAGGTGTCCTGGAAGACCGGGGCACTTACCAGCTGTAGCGCCAAACCCACAAATTTCTTTCCACAGAGGCCACAGAATTAGGCCCTGGCTTGTCTACTGACCAGATAGATGCCTTCTGAAGGTAGAACCAGCATCAGAATAATTCTAGGCCACATTATGAAATCACTTAGAATTCAGAACTTGAACTATGTCTCTCCAGAATAGTCATTCAGGCACCAACATTTTTTCGGGGAGGTTAAATGGCAAACAAAAGTTAGTGTTCAAGCCCTTACTAAGTACTATTTTTATGATCCCATCGAGATTTATAGTTATTTTCTTTAACTTATTGAAAGCACTTAAGGGATAAGTTCAGAGCTGGAATAAAAGTCCCTTAAGGATAAAAAGAAGGAAACTTGAGCTTACGACATGCTTGGTGTTACTAAACTTAACTAAAGGTAATCCATTCTGGAAGCTTTACTCTTGTGAAGATGGACAGACAGGGAGTTGTCAGGAAGACCAACAAATGAAATGTTTCCCAGCCTTGGGCTCAGAAGCAGTGGCCTGGTATGATGGAGGCACTACCTGGACTCAGGGAGGCACACGTCCTGGTTATGCCTTTAACTACCCTCACAGCACAGTCACAGAAACATATGGACTGGGAACCATTAGCTCCAACTCACAAGTGAAGAGCAGAAAGATGTTCCAAAACCTTAGCTACTTAGTCATTAGTAGAGTTTGAAGTCAAACTCAGGCTTCCATTATATGAAGCTCATCTTATGGACGACTTTGTGGAGACTCTAGAGTGCCCCTAGACTCTGCTCTTGTAAAATAAGATGCTCTCGATCATTGAGCTATGAGCTCTTTTCCAGCCCTAAAACCCCACCAAAGTGAAAACAGGTTAATGGAATTGAACAGCAAGTTAAATAAGGAACAGATGTCACGAAGTGTTTTCTGGTTCACGCTTGCGGTGCAGACGCCGGTTAGTGTAAGGCAGGGATCTCTGGATTCTGTGTGAGCATACTTTACAAGGGCACAAGAAGAAGCAGGCTGTGGGCCAGGTGGGAGAGGGTGGGAGTTGGTTTGAGTCAGTGGTGGCAGAGGAGGAAAGAAGCGGATGTATTCAGGAGTGGGGTTACATATCTACATACCTATGTAGACTGCCGCCCTTCCTGCTCACATGAGAAAAGTCACAGATCCTGAAGAATTTGTTCCACGGAATAACAGAAAGAAAAGGGAGAAGTATTTGGAGGGATAAATCCTGGGAAAGGGGCTGGAGAAAGTGAGGGCTTTTTGGTTTGGGGGGCAGGGACTTCGAGACAGGATTTCTTTGTAGCTTTGGAGCCTGTCCTGGAACTAGCTCTTCTTGGCTCTTGTAGACCAGGCTGACCTCGAACTCACAGAGATGCACCTGCCTCTCGAGTGCTGGGATTAAAGGTGTGCGCCACCACCACCTGCCTTCGAGTGAGTTTTAGTAGTGCCTTTCTGCTGGAAATCCTTGTAAACTTTGGCACACTTAGCAAATCCATGACTAGAAAGCTCCTAAAATCCCCTATAACCTAAAAAAAAAATCAACTCCATTATTTTGGCACATTTTAAAAATCTCTCCAGAGGAACGATGGCTGCGATTGTACACAAGCATCCTTCTATTAGAAGAGACAAGAGTTCTCTCTCGAAGGGAGTTCTCGAATGTTAATAGGCTTCAGTATTAGCTTGAATGCGAAGCAGCTCAACAAGCCATAAACCATTCTATTAATAGAGTGGACCTTGTTTATAATTCCAGGGGCACATAATAGGGCTCATGCTACTGTCAGAGTATTTTAATAGGTTTAAAAATGTTTGAAAATCCAATTATATTTATTTGAAGTACATGTACATCTAGGTGAACAAACCACATCAAAGCAGAGTTCGGTGTGACTGGTGTCTGGGCTCCAGAGCGCAGTGTTATTTGAAAGATTTCTATTTACCAGGTAGGAAAGATTCTGGAACTAATGCTGCTACCATGATTCAGCTAATGAGGACTGAAGGATATCGAGTTTTCATTCTTCAAAATGAAAATGCATCAGTGTTCCCTTTAAATGAAAATACCTTAAAGTTACAAAGAAGCAATGATGTCAAAAGCAGCCTATTCTAAAATGTCTTTTACTATCTCTTAGTTAAAAAATATTTATCTCAGGCTGGAGAGATGGCTCAGAGGTTAAGAGCACTTACTGCTCTTCCAGAGGTTCTGAGTTCAATTCCCAGCAACCACATGGTGGCTCACAACCATCAGTAATAAGATCTGGCACCCTCTTCTGGCCTGAAAGCATATATGCAGGAAGAACTCTGTATACATAATTAATAAATAAGTCTTTAAAAATTATTTATCTCTACTAAACTGAATGCTGGGAGAAATGAGGTAGAGTCAGAGAGAAGCCATGTAGACCCGCCAGAGACAGAAGCTGGAACTTTACCCAGTAAGCCACAGCCTCATCGCAATACACAGATTAATGGAGATGAGTTAGTTTAAAGATATGAGTTAGCCAGAAATATGTTTAAGCTATTGGACAAATAGTATTGCAAATAATATGGGCTCTGTATGATTATTTTTGGAGTCTGGGCAGCCAGGAAATGAACTAGCAGCCTCCTACAACAGTTCTAGTCGATAATATCGTTTGTTTTTTTCTCAGGTGTTGGAAAACAAAACAATAAATTATAAACCTGTATTTAATAACAAAAATTATTTATCTCATTTTGTTTGGGTCACACTTACCAAGTCCTTGGCATTTAGAGATACTTCATCCCACCAGGGGGAGATAAAGTAATATTCACAATTCAGAATTCTCCTGAACATGAACTGGTCGCCTCTTTCGTCATAGAACGGTTCAAATCCACAAAGTCTGGAGAGAAAAGATAGAATCAAATATCTTTAAAAGATGAGGTATACTTCATCAAATTTCTGCAAAAATTCAAAATCTTTCTTCTATATTCTCTACAAGTAACTCTACCTGTACAAGTGTGTAATTGTTTTGTTAGAATTTATTGACTGACAACATAAAACCTGAACATCAGCTGCAAGAAGTAAGAATAATGAAACCACATTTCTTTTAAAAGCCATAACAACAACAGGCACAAAAATACTATAATTAAAATTGCTAATATTATAGACGTTATGGTAATGATTTTTCCAGCCGATTTTTCTTGAAAATTAAAAAAGTATTATACAGATTGATAGGGCCTCAGTTTAGTATAAAACAGAAAAGTTTAAGAATACAGGCTTAAAAGTGGACAGAAATAGCAATCTACAAAAGTTAGTAGAAGTCGGATATTTTCATATATTATCCTGGTTTGGATTTCAGACTGGAACAAACAGAGATGAAGCTATTAATTTAGTCAGCACAGGCCGTCAACAGACGAGCAGCGCAGACTGACTTCTTTCTTGTAAATGGCCCTCATTTTAAAGATGTCTGATTAGATTCGCCTTTTGCTTTCTACTATAGGGTCAGGAGAGAAGGAAACAGAGTGTGAGAACGGGGAAATACCTCTGACATCTCATGCAAGGGGGAAGGAAAAGCTGGAGTCTGCTCTGGGGTTTCTGAGCCTGCCCTGGTGAGAGACAACCGGCTCTTCTGGATCACAGGTGGAAAAGGCAGTTAAAGAAAGCAAGGGCCTTTCCAGGGGCGCGGGTGTGGAAGGACGCCGCTTTCTTACAGGGACTGGCCTCTGGGAAATCGACCATGCTCCAAGTGAGTATATGGGCCACACAAATTAGACTTCGTAGTTTTTCCTTTCTCTCTCTCTTTCTCTTATCTACTTTTCTTTGGGGAAGGTCATAAGAGGGGGGAGGGTGGACCTGGGGAGACTGGGAATTGAATGTGATCAGGGTGCATTACGTGAAACTCCCAAATAATAAATAAAATATTATGTAAGAAAAAAGAGAAAAAAGCAGTCTTTCAAGGCATTTATTATACATGTTTCTTTTGAAAATCAAATGGGAAAATAACAAAAATTTAAACGATATCCTCTTCGACTCCTCCTCTAAGCCAGCCAGGCTGCCCCAGAACATGGAGAAATAAAACAACTATCTGGAGCCATCTGGGAGAAGGTGGAACTTGGGAGCAAAATAAACCTCAGCAATGCACTTTCATTTGCTAAATCTGCACAGAGACCCTGCACCTGAGCCACCTGTGTGAGGGGAGTGTCGGCACACAGGGGTGAGCAGGCAGACTGCAAAGGCCCAGAGATCTGCCTGCCTCTGCCTCCTGAGTGCTGGGGTTAAAGATGTGCACCACCACCTAGCATCACAGAAGTATTCTACAAAGCTCAGGAGCTAAGATTCTCTCTCCTCTCTCTCCTCTCTCCTCTCCTCTCCTCTCCTCTCCTCTCCTCTCCTCTTCTCTCTCTCTCCTCTCTCTCTCTCTCTCTCTCTCTCTCTCTCTCTCTCTCTCTCTCTGACACATAGGGACACAGTACAAAAGAACTTTTCTGAAACCCCAGAAGAATTCCCTCTGCAGAGCCCAAACCTGCAGCCACCCTGACCTAAAGCTTCTAACCTCTGAGACTGTGAGAAGGTAAATATCGCTTGTGTAGGTCACTCTGCTATACAGTGGGTGAAGGCAGCTCACCTATGAATAACCGGCTCTTCAGAACCCTGGAAAACCTCTCTTCACAGATGCATGCTATAGGTTCCCAAAACTAACTGCATTCCCTGCCAAATGGCCAACGTGTGCCTCACTGTGCGTTAGTTCTTGGGTGGACTCATATCTTCTTGCCTTAGCTTTCTACAGCCACGGTCACATATGATTTCCCTCACTGTCACCTCCAATTCCATCACCCACTCTGCAAACTTCCTGAAGTCATTTTTTTTATTAGACAGCAGTTCAGTAATGGAGATGGAGTGGACAGAGAATGAATTATCATCAGCTCATTTTATTCAGTGTTTAGCTCAAGGCCCTTGAAACCTTAACACATAGGAAATAAATCAATAGGTAAATGCGCTCAAAATATTTTGATAAGAAACGTGCTAGTTTGGGATTTCTTAAGAAGTTAATAACAGATCTCCTTAAAGGGCCACCAGTCTGTTCAGCAAGATTCAAATACATAAACAAAGGAGTACGGCAGGTGGACTTAGGTTTCACATCTATCATGATCGTGCAATACATTCCCAAATGTGGGTATATTATACAGGAAAATCAGCTAAGGAAAAGCCCTGGACAGTGTCTCACCTCCAGGGAAATGCAACAGTAAGAAGCAATACTGATTTTGAGACTAGCTCTCGGCACAGTTAGTGTAAAACGGAATATCACATCATTTGAGACTAAGCTATCAGTGCGGTTATTGTAAAAAGGAACATCACAAGAAGTCAGAGGTCAATGTAGTTGTCATGAGAATTATTAATACCTAGAAAATGTTATTCAAAGACTGTTTGCATAAAGGTTGCCTTTTGTCACTTACAAGATGTAGGTGATTATTCCTACAGACCACATGTCCACTTCCGGTCCATAGGCACAGCCTCGGAGAATCTCAGGTGCTACGGAAAGAAGGAAAATGAGGTTCAGTTGGAGTGCAACCTCAATACTCACATTTTAATTGCAACCAATGGGGAGAACCAAATTCCCTACTGGACTTCTGAACTCTCATCACCAATCTTCTCTTCCATGACCACAGTAGGATGAGCAAACTCTCAAGTCTAGTTCTCCAGGAGACACTGCAGTCTTTGTCTATCATGGGAGCAGGGGAGTAATGCTACCGGTTAATCAAATTCTGTACTACAATACCATGATAGGGCTTGAATAAGATGGGCAGAGGTGTATCTTTGCTGCAAAAAATCCCCCTACTCCAAAGGGCACTTGATACATAGACAAGGAAGAAATGAAAGTTAAGCACAGTCAAGGGGAAAACAGGCAAAATTACACTTCTCAGAACTCAAGAACTACCTGAAGCAGTGGGTATGCAGCAATGGCATGTCTGGGGCAGGGCAAGGACCAGAGCAGACTATGGGAAGGGTATGCAAAACTCGAGGACAAGAAGGTTGGCACAGGAGCAGGAAAGGGCTCTGACACACATACAGCCTTGCCTGCTGTATGTCAGTTCCCAAGGAAACACTGTCCCCAGTGTTCTTGAAGTCATGATCTGAGAAGGGAGGTCTTCCCTATGCATAGCAAGGCCTATTCTATTAGCTTTCTTTACTATTGGGGTAGGGAGGCCTTCTCAACGTTGGCATGGTCCTGGAGAGAAGACTACAGTGATCTTTTATATTTTTATTACCAGAGAGATGTGAAAATTAGAAGCCACTGGCTCTGATGGTTTGCACTGAGTACTGGAGATGCATTGTTCTCCTTACTCACAGAGAAAGAGCCTGAGAAGCAGTGCACCGCCATCTGCAGAGATGGGGCCTATTAGCCCACAGTGTATTCTTTTTTTTTTTTGAGACAGGGTTTCTCTGTGGTTTTGGAGCCTGTCCTGGAACTAGCTCTTGTAGACCAGGCTGGTCTCAAACTCACAGAGATCCGCCTGCCTCTGCCTCCCGAGTGCTGGGATTAAAGGCGTGCGCCACCACCGCCCGGTGTATTCTTTAGTGCTGTAGATGCTGCTGGGGCCCCTAAAGGTTGAGTGGCTTGATACATGCTGAGGGTCTTTGCAGTATGTCTGGGGGATCAGAACACCATATTCCTCCAGATGGGGCCTCTAGAATCAGTAAATTGGCTCTACTGTCTTCACTAGAAGGACATCTGTCTAGACCAAAGGTTCTCAATCTGTGGGTCATGACCTCTTTGGAGAGTTAAACAACCCTTTCACAGTTCACCAAAGACCATTGAAAGACTCATATAGTTATGCTATGGATTATATTACATAACAATAGCAAAATTACAGTTATGTTGCAGCAATAAAAATAATTTTATGGTTGGGGGTCACCACAACATGAGGAACTGTACTAAAGGGTCACAGCATTAGGAAGGTTGAGAACCTTCCCAGGCTCTGGAAGGAAACTGTTTTCATTGGGCTCTGGGTTAACTGGAAGATTGCTGTGACTTTTCCACTGGTGGCTTTCCATGTCACCTTCCACTCATTCTTCTTCCCTGTAGAATTGTGCTTTACAAAATATAGGAAATAAGCACCCAAGGCGGAAATGTGAAAGGGACATGTGCCAACAGATGAAGCAACCACTCAACAAGATGCACCATTCAAGGAATTGTATCTGGATCCAAAAAGGCTTGCTTATCTACAGTTGAATACAATTATTCCTAGGGGGAAAATGTCCTATTAAGATTTGATAAGATTATAAAGAATGCCTCCTCCCTGTCTATGTCTTTGACTGTGGGGTAACCTTCATTTCCTGGGGGCATTTGCATCTCAAAGAAGGAGTCTTTGAGTCCCTGCTGCAAGTGTTTTGTTTAATCCTTGTGCCAAGGAAACTTGGATTTGGCTGCCAGCTCCTGGAGAGCCACTGTCACCTGCCTCCTAGTGTAGAGTGGAACAGGGAGCATAGCAGGTCTTTGGTTTGCATAGTGAGTGGTATCAGCCCTTGCTCACTCAGGCCCTGACATCAGAGAACCTGATGAGAACTTCGTATGAATGTTGGCAGAAGCTTTTACATTTCATGAGATGCGGTGTGTTTGTTTGTTTAATGTTTCAAATCTAAGTGAACTGGACTAGCTCTGATTGCCAAATTCCCTTGGCAATCTCATTTCTCGTTTACCCTGCTAGCCCTGGTCCTGTCGCTCTAGTAAAGTCAAAGCCCTGGTGAGGGTCAGGTGTTCTCTCCTGCTCTCTCATGGCACCCAGCCAAGAGCCCTGCAGCATGTAAACACCCGGAAAGGAGGTCCTTGTTGACAGCTCAGTCAGTAGAGTATGAGACTCTTAATCTCAGGGTTGTGAGTTCAAGCCCCATGTTGGGTGCCATTTGTTGACAGAGGTTTCTGTCCCACCTGGTCCCGCAGCCGTTCAGTCCCAAGGAAACACACAGAGGTCTACATTAATTATCAACTGGTTGGCCTACTACCTCAGGCTTCTTATCAACTAATTCTTACATCTTAAATTAGCCTGTTATTCTTGTCTGTGTTAGCCACGTGGCTTAGTACCTCTTATCAGTGAGGCATTCTCATCTTGCTTCCTCTGTATCTGGCTTCCTCCGTGATGACTGCAGGCTGACCCTTTCCTCTTCCCAGAATTCTCCTGTTTTGGTTGCCCCACCTCTACTTCCTTCTTGGCTACTGGCCAATCAGCATTTTATTAAAACAATACAATATAAGTGACAGGGTACATGACCACTGTCTCACAGCAGGTCCCCTTAGTGCCCACCATGGAGCAGCTGCAATATTTGTCCCATACAACATCTGCTTTGTTTCACATCAGTGTACAAACATCCCCAGTAGTAGAATATTTCTCCATAAGGCATTATCCTGTACTGAGTCAACTTTGGGAGTTAAAGTTTAACTGAGACAAAGAGAACTTAAGATAGGTTCTTATCTTCTGTAATAAATATCTCTTAAAATACTTTTTATAAAGTAAAAAACTTACAATATCTTTTATTTGGGGGAGGGGCAGGGTTTATTTTCTTTCTGTAATCTTGGCTGTTCTGGAACACACTTTGTGGACCAGTTCTCGAACTCACAGAGATCCACCTGCCTCTGCCTCCTGAGTTTGAGGATTAAATGCATGTACCACCACCACCTGCCCTAGAACTTATAATATCTTAACTCCAATATAAAATTGACGTCAAACAAAGTCTAACTCAATTTCAATGTTAACTCAGTTAACTATTTTAAATAGTATGATCTTTAAGTCAATAAACCATCTAAAGTAGTATAAAGTATTTTCAGATACTAGAGAGTATGCCCTTGACTTTCTTTGGAATCAGCTGGTATCCCTTATCTGAACTCTTTACACAACAGAAAGCCTTTTCCAAAAGCTTTTCTAAATCACTTTCAGGTTCTGGCACAGCGGTCTTCAAGTCTCCTAGGTATCAGACGTCCTCACAATTGAGTCTAGTAGTTCGTCATCTCCATCGAGTAAGAAATAATGGAGGAGCAGTCAATTAATTTCTATTTGATATCAATATCAAACCAGATGTTGCAGCACACACCTGTAATCCCAGCATTAGGAAGAGGAGGCAGGTGGAGCAGAAATTCAAGGTCACTTTTGATATCTCAGAGTTTGGGGTCAATGTGGATTACAGGAGACCATCTCAAAACCAAACCAAACCAGTGGGAAGGACATTACCCTGCCTTTAAGGCCATGAATAGCTAGCTCGCCTTCACACTTTTTCTCACCCTATTCTCAAAGCAAACAAATAAAATCTAGGGAGATAATGTTCTTTCAGGGCCCCTAGTACACAGGCCAGCCCACTATCAGGACAGCTGAGTCTTAGTAAACTTTCTGAGAATTCTCTGTATGTCAGCTGTGCTCTTTAAAAAATCAATTTGGATGAGATACAAAAACTAAACAAAAGTTCAAACTGTATGATATTTATTCACTGCCTCCTGGACCACAGAGTGTTATTATTTTTTTTTTTCAGTTAGGTGACAACATCATTAAAACATTTAGAGATTGAAGATCCACCTAGAAATTGTAATAGATTCAAACAGAAGCACTGCAACCGTCCTGGAAATAGCACCAGGCATCTTGCCCCAGCCACAGGCACTAGACTGTTCCTCTTTCCCAGAGACCGCTGGGGATAGCTGCTGGCACAATTTTGGTTCTTGACTGTGCGTTTATCACTGCTTCAGGTAGGCGCCATCACCCTTTCCTACTTACTGGGTTAACGCCAGAGTGGCATTTGCTTATGAAACTTTTCAAGCTACTATTAACTCTCGACTGCAACAGATCTGAAGTAAACTAAGAGTGGAGGTAATGTATGCATGCCTTCTTTCACCCATCAAATAGTTACTAAGCACTTGCTCCATGGTAGACACTTGGTAGTTCAGGATCCTGCGAAATCCTAAGGAGCAAGTCCCTAAAGTAAGTCGTAATGAAGAGATGTTAGGTAGCTGCTGGCATTCCTGGGAGGAGGATGTCTTCAACAGGGGCTAGCAGGATCACACTGGTCAGGGAGGAAGCAGAGTTTAAATTGAGATGTACTGAATCCAGAGAAGTTAACTAGGCAAATGGGGACAGGGTGGTTGACAAGAGACAGCACAGGGTTTCAAGTGGAAGGAGCAACTATGCAGCAGTCCCATGGCAGAAAGGAGCAAGGCCTGGCTCAGGACAGCAGTGGGGCTATGCTCTCCAGTGAGGCAGTTGGAACTAGTGATTTTCTTTGCTATCAAATCAAACCCATGGGGGTGAGGAGCATGGTTCCATACATCTCAATGCTTGAACCCGACTTTCCGGGGTCCTCCATTCCAGAGATAAAGGAAAACATTGCCAAAGTTTCCACTGGAAAGCTCTGCCTTGAATTGAAATTTCTAGGAGCCACAAAAATCCAGTATATTTTTTCTTTTCATATGTGTGTAGTAGGGATCTGTCGGAACATATAGAACACAGAGGACAATCTTGGGTATCATCCCTCAGAAGCTGTCTACACGGTGT